CTTGTTGAGATGAACTAAATAAACAGTGAGTCAAAGTGAGGTTCAGATTCTGAGAGGAGTATTATTAGCTGGAGGGGAAATAGGTATTGTTTGCTCACTTAGGGAACAATGTGACCGCTGCATGTTGAAAACAGAACAATCCTTTTATATCAGAGAAAAGCCGGTCTGTTATTATTTTCCAATGCAAGATTGTAAATGTTAATGCTTTCATTCCTTAAAAACCTTGTCAGATGTTCACTTATCTTAAGGAAAGACTCTCATTTTAGGAATTTGGAATCTCAGCTGACACTGGTTAATTTACTGGCTATTTCTGAAACTTTGATATTTAAAATTTGTCTGACTGCTTTACAGCATTATCCCTAAGAAATTAGGGCTGCTTTATTACTGAATTCTGAAAAGTTACATTTTAGAAAGAGTACTCAGTCCTAAGCATTTTCCCAAATCCAATTCAAATTCTTTTTTTTTTTTTAAAGATTTTTATTGGGGAATTGGGGGCTAGGAACAGCGCTGGGGAATTGGGGGAAGGGGAACAGACAAGTTGCTGTCTTTTTGTTCTTCGTCTAGTTGTGGAGGACATGGCTTCACTGGCCCAAGTTGGCACCATCATTGCGCTCTTCCCAGGAGAGGCAGATCAGTCGCCGGCTTCTGGATAGCTGCTCAGGGCAGCTGCTGGCCGCTCACGCTGGCTGCTGGCTACATACGGTAGCCCATGGCAACCCACTGCCATAGGGGCTGCGGCCTATGCTATCACTGGCGACTCAGGGCAGCCCAGCTCCAGGTTCAGCATCTTAGCTGTAGAGGGCAGTGTCACTGGCCCTCATATGTGGGATCCAAACTGGGGCCGTCTGGCGTCCCAAGCCAGCTCTTAACCAATGTGCCACTCGGTGGGCCCTCAAATTCATTTTTTAATGCTCTATTTCAGAGGTTTAAATTTTTTTATTCTTTTTTCTTTCTTTCCCTCCCTCCCTCCCTTCCTTGCCCAAGGATTCCAAAAAGGGGCATCAGGTCACAGGAGGTGTCAGAGATCAGACAAATGTCAGGATGTGGGCCTAGACACCTTCACTTCAATAAGAGTAATCTGCTTTCATTAGCAAAATGTTTGAAAACCATGGTTGAGAGGCAACAATGCAGAATGGAAACAGAAATAAGCTCTTAAAGAACTGGTAACCATTCTCTGCTTTTCAACTGCTCTGAGCAAATCTTTAGAGGCTGCTCCATAAATGACCCTGAGCAGTCAAGTCACCTGATCGTGGGACAGTGCTAAGGACTGGGCAGAGTCCTATCCTTCATCCAACCTCTTTTACCACCCCTTCCTATTTATATTCCATGATCATAAGTATAATAGAGTCACCAAAGTTGCAGCTGCTAAGATCCATTTAAACATATTTAATTTGGGAAGGGGTTTCTGGAATACTGCTCCAGAAAAGGATTTTCTTTACATCTGGGTTTTAGAGTTAGGAAATAATCCTGTCTTATTAAAAAAGTTTGAAAGCACGAGGTATAAGGATGCAGAGTTACACAGATCAGAAGACAGGGCAGGTGGCAAGGAGGATCTGAGACCCAATATGAGGCTCACTTGTTGTTTCGGCTTCTCTAAGGATGAAGGTTCAAGGAGAGAACAAAGGAATTCACAGAGAGGGCAATTTCCAATGCAGCGATGGTGAGCACCCGAGGAGCCAGATGAAGACGTGGATGCTCTTCAGTTGGTTTGATCCCAGTAATAGGACATCTCAACTGGTACTTGTAAGGCTAGACAGGTGGGCAGGCAGTGGCATCTAGAATGTCCATCAGTGGTGTTTGTAGCCACAAGACGAGTGTTTTTAGGGGGCAGAGCTTTTGGCCCTGAGACAGGAAAGATGCAAGCAGGGTTTGAGTTCTTCCATAATTAATTGAGGGCATTGACAGTGTATTGGTGTTGGTACTTAAAACAGAGAACAAACAAAATTCTCATCCTATGATCTGGGACACATGGGGAAATGGAATCTTTGGAGCTTAAGGGCAAGGGTACCATTATTAGAATCGAGAAATACACAGGGGCTTGCTTTGCATCAGAATGTCTGAGGAGCTGGGTGGTAAGCACTAGGATCCCATATCATGGATCATTGAACTGGGAGAATGATTCTAGTGCAGAGACCATGGGTCAAGATGTGAGAGAAGGCAAAGTCAGGTAAAATGAGGCTGGGATAGAAAGTGCTGAGAAAAAGTGACATTAGGTCCCTTTTTCACCACAGATAATGGTCATGCATTCTCAAACCTAAAGACAAGAGCTAAGTAATTCTATCGGTTGTTTAAATCTGGCAGAGGGATAATTAAATACTTTGAACTCTAAGCAATGCTGCCCACTAATAATCTTTGACAAAGATTGTAAACAGAGAAGGGAGTTGCTATAAACATAGCTAGCTCATTCTTTTTGTGCATATTTTTAGTTAAGTAAACCGATGGTCTTTGGTCATGTCCTTACATTTTATTTTAGAATCCTCTCAGGTGCTGGGGCTCATGTTCAGGGGGATGCACTCCCACTATAGATTATTGAAAGAGTTGGGCTTTTAGTCACATTAAGGACCTGTGAAGACAGCTGAAAGACTAGAGGAGAACTAGAAAGTGTGATGAGGGCTTTGGATTATACGCTCCAGATAACAGTCCTTTGATACAAGTCCTTTTATTTTATTTGTCAACATTGAGAGTTTGTTTTAGTTTGATGGTACAAATAATTCAAAGGTTGCTCTTGGCAATCTGAAACATGGATCTAAAGAATGCCTAGAGATAGAGGGTGCCAAAAACATGTATTCATGTTTTAAGAGATGTTATACATGTATACATGTTTTTGGCACCCTCTGTATTTGGGGCATACAGAAACCATAGCTTTTTTAAGACTGGAAGGGACTTTAAAGGTCATCAAAACTAAATCACTTCATTTTATAATTGAGAAGAATGAGGCCTGGAAAAGCCATGTGACTTGTTTAATGCCAGGGCCTGAATGAGTAGGCCAGGACTAGAACCTATGAATTGAATTTCTAGTTCACTATTTTTTCCATTACCATGACTATCCTGCCTCAGGTGACAACTCAAGGTTTAAAACAACAACCAATTTAATCTGAATTGGTTCTAGTTTTCAAATCAATTTATTATTTCCTATGAGAATTTATAATGAGCAAATTCAGTAATGCTGGTGATATTGTCATGTCTTTCTGTACAAGCTCAAAATGTATCCATCATGTTTCCTACTTTAATCTTTGACTGTCAGTGAGGAGTTCTGTGAGTAGCATTTAAAAAATGTTTTTGCTGAGTTCTGTTAAAATGTGATTAAAAACTTTTTTTTTTCAATTGTCACTGTGGAAAAAAAGACCCTGTGGATTTTTCTCTTTTAGGGCAAGCATTTGAGCAATCAATTTGAAAACTCTATGAAATATTTTTTTCCTTTATCCAAAATGCAGAAAAGGAAAGGGAATTCTGGCCTGTTTTCATCTTGGTCAAATTCTTGTGCTAAGTTCTCAGTGATTTCTGCTGTGTGTGAACTATGACCATAAGCGAAAATGGTCTGTTTTAGGTCATGGCTGTGGGCAAAGATTAATTGGTGAAAAATGGGCCTGTTTGTGGGATTTACCACACAGTAAGCTTTCTATCTCCCTGGAAAAATGTGGAATTAGCTCTTTGAGAAATGCAGCCCTGTCATGAGGTTGAAGGGAGAGTTTCGGTGGAGGGAGACACAGTTCAGTTTCTAAGACAGTTATGATTGGTTAGCTTCCAGAGCAGTCCCTTTGGTACAGCAAAGTTCTTCCCGGTTTCAGGTCAGTGTTTCCTACATGTTGCTTAGTTTCACCAGTAATTCACAGATCGCATCTTCTTTGGCTTCTTTCAAGGCTAACCCATCCAAACTGGGCAACGGTCTTGGAGAGGACCCAATTCTTCCGCCCCCCTTACCAGAACATGCTGTTACAGTGAAATAGCCTTCGATGTGGAAATAACTTTGCAACAGAGTTTCCGTGCTTGTTGAGTGGGATACAGAATCGAACCAGTGGATATCTATGGCAAGGGTGCCAAGCGGAGGATGGGATGTTACAATAGTTCCTCGCCTGTGAAGGTGGTTCTTGAGGAAGACAAGCTCTATTTGATCCACTTGGATGCTCCAGAGAACACTCCACGTGCACGCTCCTTCCTAAGAGCCATTGCAAGGATCTGGGCTTGCTGCGTGGCCAAGAATCCACGTTGCTGTAGAGGAGAGACTTACCCACAGTGATTAGGATTTCTTCGCCGTGCCCATGGTGCTGGCTGGCCCTTACCAGGTCACAGTTCGGCTGGGGCAGTCCAAGGGCCCACTCTGAACCGGGATGAGGTTAGAGGCGGGACCTGAGACGCCTCCCGCCTCAACTTGGTTTTCCTACGAGGCACTCCCCTTGGGGACCACAAACACCCTCTTTTCCCAAGACCCCAGGGGTGACCTGTCGGAGCCTGGCTAGGTGTCTACGACTTAACCCCAAAGGGGACCCGCGCGCCCGGGGGAGCAGGATGGTGGACTCGCCCCTTCCCTCCGCAGAAGCCCCCGCCCGTCTCTCCCAGCCCTGTCGGGTCTCCGGGCGGCCGGGGCCGCGCTCCCCCGTCCCAGCGCACTTAGCCGGCGAGGTCCCCGGCCCGCGCGCGTCTGCAGCGGGCCGGCGGCGGGGCCAGGCGCGGCGGGACGAGCGGCGGCGGG